CGCCAAACGTCTCTCGTCAGGCCGTGCTCTCGTCCAATAATTCGCTTTCACCGAGGCAATAGCCGAGATCGTGGTCACGGGTGAACGAATAAAACGGCGCCAAACGTCTCTCGTCAGGCCGTGCTCTCTCCATTAATTCGCTTTCACCGAGCAATAGGCGAGATCGTGGTCACGGTGAACGAATAAAACGGCCGCCAAACGTCTCTCGTCAGGCCGTGCTCTCTCCAATAATTCGCTTTCACCGAGGCAATTGCCGAGATCGTGGTCACGGTGTGAACGAATAAAACGGCGCCAAACGTCTCTCGTCAGGCCGTGCTCTCTCCAATAATTCGCTTCACCGAGGCAATAGGCCGAGATCTTGGTCACGGTGAACGAAGAAAACGGCGCCAAACGTCTCTCGTCAGGCCGTGCTCTCTCCATTAATTCGCTTTCACCGAGGCAATAGGCGAGATCGTGGTCACGGTGAACGAATAAAACGGCGCCAAACGTCTCTCGTCAGGCCGCGCTCTCTCCAATAATTCGCTTTCACCGAGGCAATAGCCGAGATCGTGGTCACGGTGAACGAATAAAACGGCGCCAAACGTCTCTCGTCAGGCCGTGCTCTCTCCAATAATTCGCTTTCACCGAGGCAATAGGCGAGATCGTGGTCACGGTGAACGAATAAAACGGCGCCAAACGTCTCTCGTCAGGCCGTGCTCTCTCCAATAATTCGCTTTCACCGAGGCAATAGCCGAGATCGTGGTCACGGTGAACGAATAAAACGGCGCCAAACGTCTCTCGTCAGGCCGTGCTCTCTCCAATAATTCGCTTTCACCGAGGCAATTGCCGAGATCGTGGTCACGGTGAACGAATAAAACGGCGCCAAACGTCTCTCGTCAGGCCGTGCTCTCTCCAAATAATTCGCTTTCACCGAGGCAATAGCCGAGATCGTGGTCACGGTGAACGAATAAAACGGCGGCCAAACGTCTCTCGTCAGGCCGTGCTCTCTCCAATAATTCGCTTTCACCAAGGCAATAGGCGAGATCGTGGTCACGGTGAACGAATAAAAACGGCGCCAAACGTCTCTCGTCAGGCCGTGCTCTCTCCAATAATTCGCTTTCACCGAGGCAATAGCCGAGATCGTGGTCACGGTGAACGAATAAAACGGCGCCGAACGTCTCTCGTTAGGCCGTGCTCTCTCCAATAATTCGCTTTCACCGAGGCAATAGCCGAGATCGTGGTCACGGTGAAACGAATAAAACGGCGCCAAACGTCTCTCGTCAGGCCGTGCTCTCTCCAATAATTCGCTTTCACCGAGGCAATAGGCGAGATCGTGGTCACGGTGAACGAATAAAACCGGCGCCAAACGTCTCTCGTCAGGCCGTGCTCTCTCCAATAATTCGCTTTCACCGAGGCAATAGGCGAGATCGTGGTCACGGTGAACGAATAAAACGGCGCCAAACGTCTCTCGTCAGGCCGTGCTCTCTCCAATAATTCGCTTTCACCGAGGCAATTGCCGAGATCGTGGTCACGGTGAACGAATAAAACGGCGCCAAACTTCTCTCGTCAGGGCCGTGCTCTCTCCAATAATTCGCTTTCACCGAGGCAATAGCCGAGATCGTGGTCACGGTGAACGAATAAAACGGCGCCAAACGTCTCTCGTCAGGCCGTGCTCTCTCCAATAATTCGCTTTCACCGAGGCAATAGGCGAGATCGTGGTCACGGTGAACGAATAAAAACGGCGCCAAACGTCTCTCGTCAGGCCGTGCTCTCTCCAATAATTCGCTTTCACCAAGGCAATAGGCGAGATCGTGGTCACGGTGAACGAATAAAACGGCGCCAAACGTCTCTCGTCAGGCCGTGCTCTCTCCAATAATTCGCTTTCACCGAGGCAATATTTCAAAAATATATTTCAAAATACTGCGACCTCGATGAGGTCATCGCAGGAGTGGAGAGAAAACATACATATACATTCAAAAAGACAATCGATTAAAGATGTACACACCCTACAAACAAAACTTAGAAAACCTTGAAAAATGCAATATCAAAAGATTACAAAAACAATCACATACACTTCAAGTACAGATTCCAGGCACCATACCAGAACACCTACTGTATTTCTAACACAAACTTATCAAAATCGAGACAACGAATGGATCCATTTATGTTATTCCAGTTTTCTATCGTTCTAGGAAAAAAAGAATATTTAAAACAGTTAAGGTGGGCTCTGTATGGTACAAGATTTAATGGATGGAAGCTTCTAGTGCGTGATTCAGTAACAAAACTAACATATTTATCTCGATTAAGTGTACAGTTATTATTCACTATTTTATGCAGGAGCTTGAGCCGTTCTACAGCGCGTCTAGAATCAAGAGGCGTAAGTCCTATGTCAGTCATGGCAGATGTAGGAGAAAAATTGCGGTCATATCTATTACAAATAAATCTAGCTGCCTTTGATTGTATTGCGTCAATCTGCTTTATATCACCTTTTAGATAGGGATCCCACACCACACAACCGTACTCTAAGATAGGTCTAATCAAGGTCTTGTACGCCGTTATTTTAACTTCCCTAGTTGAAGATTTTAAAGTTCTCTTGACGTATCCTAGCCTTTGCAGAGCACGAGAACAAATAGAACTGATGTGCTTATCCCATTTGAGACTAGGCGTGAAAAAAATACCCAAATACTTGTATTCGTGAACTTGACGCAGAATTATATTACGAGTACCATAGCTAAAAACAGACGGTTCCTTCTTATTAGTAAATGACATAACTACAGATTTCTCAAAATTAATTTCCATCTGCCACTTTTTACTCCAATTCAAAAACTGTTCAAGAGAGTCATTTAGTAAGGCATGGTCATCTACCGAGTTGATTTCGTTGTACAAAACGCAATCATCTGCATAGAGGCGAATTTTAACTTGAAGACCATTTGCAACGTCATTAATATAAAGTAAAAACAAAAGAGGACCTAAAACTGATCCCTGTGGGACACCGGAACTAACTGAGACATTGCTAGAATGAACATCCCTGTATGAAACAAACTGTGATCTATTTTTTAGGTAATCTTCGATCCAATTAACTAATGACGTATTATTTAATATCACTTGTAATTTCTGAAGAAGCTTATGATGTGGTACCTTATCAAAAGCCTTAGAATAATCTACAAAGATGGCATCAAGTTGTACTCTTTTATCTAAAGCTAAAGCTATGTCGTGAGTGAATTCAAGAAGTTGGGTTGAGGTGGAGTAACCACGACGAAAACCATGCTGTTGAGGGCAAAGAATAAAATTAGTCTCGAGGTACTCAGATATCTGTTTATAGACAATATGTTCCAAAAGTTTACATGAAGACGATGTGAGCGAAATGGGTCTGTAGTTTGTGACCACCTGTTTGTTGCCTGACTTGAACAAGGGGATAATTTTAGCCAACTTCCATGACTGAGGCACTGTTGCAGTAGAAATAGATTTTTTGAAAATGACAGATAGGTATTTTGAACTCCAAAGTGAATAACGGCGAAGAAAAGAATTTGGAATTCCATCAGGGCCAGGGCTTTTCTTACAGTCAAGTTTCATTAGTAGATTGAGGACACCAGAAACACTAATCTCTAAATCAGATAAAGCTGGGTATATACCTTCAAAGAAAAACTCTGAATCATTGCCGTTGTCACGACTGAATACAGATTTAAAATAATCATTGAAACAGTTCGCTATCTTTGTCGGCTCACTTACAGATTCACCTTCAATAGTAAAACTCTGTGATACACTACATCTTGGAATAATAGATCTCCAAAATTTGGCAGGATTTGATTTCATAAATTCAGACAAAGTTACATTAAAATATTTGGTTTTAGCTGTTAACATCTTTTCTTTCAAGGTTGTTTTCAGATATTCAAACGAGGTATGAACAACTGATTCTGTGTTATCTTTCGTTGAACGACGTCTCCTCTTCGTTTGCCGCATCAACTGCAGCACCTCTCTCGTAATCCAGGGGTGCGCAGGGTTCTTTTTTTTTCTAGTAACAGGTACAAATTTGTTGATGCATTTTTCTATAAGGGAGTTGAAATATCTAAGCAACGTATTGACATCAGCGTCTAGACTTATGGCACAAAAATCATCAAAATAAAAACTAAGTTCATCAATAATTGACACATCGTCAGCTCTGTTGAAATCAAGGAACGTGACGAATTCAGGGTTCGAACGCTTGACACGAATGTTAAGGCTGACAAGGACAGCTTTATGATCAGAAATTCCCTCGACCACCTCGCAGTCATAACCTAGGTTTGCGATACTATGGGTTAGAAAAACAAGATCAAGAACAGAATTATCTCTGGTGCACGTTTTGACAACCTGATCTAGGTCGAATGACACAGCTATATCTACTAGAGCATCACAAATGGCCCTGTCGCGACAGCCAACCACTAGCGTTTCCCAGTTTATATCGGGTGCATTAAAATCGCCCAGCAAGATAAGCTTGAAATTCGCCAGATTGTATTTGTGAATGTAGTCATATATATCAAAGATCGTTTGCAGGCCCGAACTAGGAGCGCGATAAACCGCTCCGATAACAAGAACGAACTTATCAAGCTGCACCTTACACCATAAAGACTCTGTGTTAGGTAAACAGGGAAGAACCGAAAAGCTAATACCAGATTTAAAAAAAAGCGCGACACCACCACCTCTAGAAGACCTATCGCATCGTACCACGTTGTAATTAGGAGGTGTAAATTCGCAATCAAGAATGCCATCGTGTAACCAGGTTTCCGTAACACACATCACGTGCGGTGAATAAGAAGCTGCAATGCACGAGAACTCTGTAAATTTAGGGACAAGGCTCCGAGCATTAATGTTTAATACAGACAATGGTTTATTCGGTAACTGTCAGTTCGATCCGGTGGCAAGAACCGGAGGAAGAACTTTTATCAGCGTTCTATTTGTTGAATCCCACGAGTATCGGTCGTTGTCAACAAGAGCGTAGTCGTAACGTAGACGGACCTTTGCGCCATTTCTTCGGAATTCGGCAGTACTAAGCCAGAGTTGTTTTCGAATGTCTCTAATACGAGGTGAAAAATCCTCGTTAATAAATATCCGTGTGCCTTTAAGTTTAGAAACATTTTTGAGTATCCGCATTTTGTCACGGAAGTCCATCAATTTAAAAATTATAGGTCGTATTTTACCTTGTGCGGGGATACCAATACGATGACAGCGTTCTATGGCATCGCAAGTCACAGACAGTTTTCTGGTCAACAGTTCAGTTACACTATCCAGTAGTGATGCAGGGGTTTCATTAACAGGCTCTTCTAGACCATACACGACCAAGTTGTTTCTGCGAGAACGGTTTTCCAAATCATCATTCTTATCTGTAAGTTGACAGATAGCTGTTTCGAGAGCGGCACTCTTTCTTTCTAGACACTGCAACCGTCGGGCGATATCAGATATCTGGGACGAGCCAGCTTCGATTGCAACAAGTCGAGATTCGTAGGCGGCAAACTTAGCATCCAGAGCCTCTTGTCTGTTTTTAATAGAAGTAACGTCCGCAGCAATTTGTGTTTGGCCAGTTAGTAATTGCTGAAGGAGAGCTAGCGTCTCGGGGCCAGGGTTAGATTCAATATCGCCACTACACAACAGGATAGATGAACATATCCTGAACCATGACAATATATCAGAACAAATGCCAACCAGTGGGCCCGGTAGCAGCAAAAGAAAGCGATCATCGGACTTAAAACCGTCTGGCAAAGAAACAAACTCTACCTGTAGGGTGAGACAGAAGAAACTCAGTGGCATATTCGTCTCGCTGCCACCAAGCCCACTGAAGAGAAGAGACTGCGTCGATGGCTTTATGGCATCTGTAGCGGAAGTAGGTGTCGCTGCGGTGCTTCCGTAGAGGGTCCAATCCAGTGTTGCTAGATGAAGTGCAGGCCGGTCGTCAAAAGGTGTCGAATCATCACACGATGACGGGGGTTCAGGAACCAGAAAGCGGGAACTGGCGAACCCGTGCGGCAACAAATCCGCGGTGACGCGGCATACGGAAGCCGGGGATGACCAGACCGTTCCGAAGACAGCGATCTGTAGGGTGAGACAGAAGAAACTCAGTGGCATATTCGTCTCGCTGCCACCAAGCCCACTGAAGAGAAGAGACTGCGTCGATGGCTTTATGGCATCTGTAGCGGAAGTAGGTGTCGCTGCGGTGCTTCCGTAGAGGGTCCAATCCAGTGTTGCTAGATGAAGTGCAGGCCGGTCGTCAAAAGGTGTCGAATCATCACACGATGACGGGGGTTCAGGAACCAGAAAGCGGGAACTGGCGAACCCGTGCGGCAACAAATCCGCGGTGACGCGGCATACGGAAGCCGGGGATGACCAGACCGTTCCGAAGACAGCGATCTGTAGGGTGAGACAGAAGAAACTCAGTGGCATATTCGTCTCGCTGCCACCAAGCCCACTGAAGAGAAGAGACTGCGTCGATGGCTTTATGGCATCTGTAGCGGAAGTAGGTGTCGCTGCGGTGCTTCCGTAGAGGGTCCAATCCAGTGTTGCTAGATGAAGTGCAGGCCGGTCGTCAAAAGGTGTCGAATCATCACACGATGACGGGGGTTCAGGAACCAGAAAGCGGGAACTGGCGAACCCGTGCGGCAACAAATCCGCGGTGACGCGGCATACGGAAGCCGGGGATGACCAGACCGTTCCGAAGACAGCGATCTGTAGGGTGAGACAGAAGAAACTCAGTGGCATATTCGTCTCGCTGCCACCAAGCCCACTCAATAGCCGAGATCGTGGTCACGGTGAACGAATAAAACGGCGCCGAACGTCTCTCGTTAGGCCGTGCTCTCTCCAATAATTCGCTTTCACCGAGGCAATAGCCGAGATCGTGGTCACGGTGAACGAATAAAACCGCGCCGAACGTCTCTCGTCAGGCCGTGCTCTCTCCAATAATTCGCTTTCACCGAGGCAATAGCCGAGATCGTGGTCACGGTGAACGAATAAAACGGCGCCAAACGTCTCTCGTCAGGCCGTGCTCTCTCCAATAATTCGCTTTCACCGAGGCAATAGCCGAGATCGTGGTCACGGTGAACGAATAAAACCGCGCCGAACGTCTCTCGTCAGGCCGTGCTCTCTCCAATAATTCGCTTTCACCGAGGCAATAGCCGAGATCGTGGTCACGGTGAACGAATAAAACCGCGCATAACGTCTCTCGTCAGGCCGTGCTCTCTCCAATAATTCGCTTTCACCGAGGCAATAGCCGAGATCGTGGTCACGGTGAACGAATAAAACCGCGCCGAACGTCTCTCGTCAGGCCGTGCTCTCTCCAATAATTCGCTTTCACCGAGGCAATAGCCGAGATCGTGGTCACGGTGAACGAATAAAACGGCGCCAAACGTCTCTCGTCAGGCCGTGCTCTCTCCAATAATTCGCTTTCACCGAGGCAATAGCCGAGATCGTGGTCACGGTGAACGAATAAAACCGCGCCGAACGTCTCTCGTCAGGCCGTGCTCTCTCCAATAATTCGCTTTCACCGAGGCAATAGCCGAGATCGTGGTCACGGTGAACGAATAAAACGGCGCCAAACGTCTCTCGTCAGGCCGTGCTCTCTCCAATAATTCGCTTTCACCTAGGCAATAGCCGAGATTGTGGTCACGGTGAACGAATAAAACCGCGCCGAACGTCTCTCGTCAGGCCGTGCTCTCTCCAATAATTCGCTTTCACCGAGGCGATAGCCGAGATCGTGGTCACGGTGAACGAATAAAACCGCGCCGAACGTCTCTCGTCAGGCCGTGCTCTCTCCAATAATTCGCTTTCACCGAGGCAATAGGCGAGATCGTGGTCACGGTGAACGAATAAAACGGCGCCAAACGTCTCTCGTCAGGCCGTGCTCTCTCCAATAATTCGCTTTCACCGAGGCAATAGCCGAGATCGTGGTCACGGTGAACGAATTAAACGGCGCCAAACGTCTCTCGTCAGGCCGTGCTCTCTCCAATAATTCGCTTTCACCGAGGCAATAGGCGAGATCGTGGTCACGGTGAACGAATAAAACGGCGCCAAACGTCTCTCGTCAGGCCGTGCTCTCTCCAATAATTCGCTTTCACCGAGGCAATAGCCGAGATCGTGGTCACGGTGAACGAATAAAACGGCGCCAAACGTCTCTCGTCAGGCCGTGCTCTCTCCAATAATTCGCTTTCACCGAGGCAATTGCCGAGATCGTGGTCACGGTGAACGAATAAAACGGCGCCAAACGTCTCTCGTCAGGCCGTGCCTCTCCAAATAATTCGCTTTCACCGAGGCAATAGCCGAGATCGTGGTCACGGTGAACGAATAAAACGGCGCCAAACGTCTCTCGTCAGGCCGTGCTCTCTCCAATAATTCGCTTTCACCGAGGCAATAGCCGAGATCGTGGTCACGGTGAACGAATAAAACCGCGCCGAACGTCTCTCGTCAGGCCGTGCTCTCTCCAATAATTCGCTTTCACCGAGGCAATAGCCGAGATCGTGGTCACGGTGAACGAATAAAACCGCGCCGAACGTCTCTCGTTAGGCCGTGCTCTCTCCAATAATTCGCTTTCACCGAGGCAATAGCCGAGATCGTGGTCACGGTGAACGAATAAAACCGCGCCGAACGTCTCTCGTCAGGCCGTGCTCTCTCCAATAATTCGCTTTCACCGAGGCAATAGCCGAGATCGTGGTCACGGTGAACGAATAAAACGGCGCCAAACGTCTCTCGTCAGGCCGTGCTCTCTCCAATAATTCGCTTTCACCGAGGCAATAGCCGAGATTGTGGTCACGGTGAACGAATAAAACCGCGCCGAACGTCTCTCGTCAGGCCGTGCTCTCTCCAATAATTCGCTTTCACCGAGTTAATAGCCGAGATCGTGGTCACGGTGAACGAATAAAACCGCGCATAACGTCTCTCGTCAGGCCGTGCTATCTCCAATAATTCGCTTTCACCGAGGCAATAGCCGAGATCGTGGTCACGGTGAACGAATAAAACCTCGCCGAACGTCTCTCGTCAGGCCGTGCTCTCTCCAATAATTCGCTTTCACCGAGGCAATAGCCGAGATCGTGGTCACGGTGAACGAATAAAACCGCGCCGAACGTCTCTCGTCAGGCCGTGCTCTCTCCAATAATTCGCTTTCACCGAGGCAATAGCCGAGATCGTGGTCACGGTGAACGAATAAAACCGCGCCGAACGTCTCTCGTCAGGCCGTGCTCTCTCCAATAATTCGCTTTTACCGAGGCAATAGCCGAGATCGTGGTCACTGTGAACGAATAAAACCGCGCCCAACGTCTCTCGTCAGGCCGTGCTCTCTCCAATAATTCGCTTTCACCGAGGCAATAGCCGAGATCGTGGTCACGGTGAACGAATAAAACCGCGCCGAACGTCTCTGGTCAGGCCGTGCTCTCTCCAATAATTCGCTTTCACCGAGACAATAGCCGAGATCGTGGTCACGGTGAACGAATAAAACCGCGCCGAACGTCTCTCGTCAGGCCGTGCTCTCTCCAATTATTCGCTTTCACCGAGGCAATAGCCGAGATCGTGGTCACGGTGAACGAATAAAACCGCGCCGAACGTCTCTCGTCAGGCCGTGCTCTCTCCAATAATTCGCTTTCACCGAGGCAATAGCCGAGATCGTGGTCACGGTGAACGAATAAAACCGCGCCGAACGTCTCGTCAGGCCGTGCTCTCTCCAATAATTCGCTTTCACCGAGGCAATAGCCGAGATCGTGGTCACGGTGAACGAATAAAACCGCGCCGAACGTCTCTCGTCAGGCCGTGCTCTCTCCAATAATTCGCTTTCACCGAGGCAATAGCCGAGATCGTGGTCACGGTGAACGAATAAAACCGCGCCGAACGTCTCTCGTCAGGCCGTGCTCTCTCCAATAATTCGCTTTCACCGAGGCAATAGCCGAGATCGTGGTCACGGTGAACGAATAAAACCGCGCCGAACGTCTCTCGTCAGGCCGTGCTCTCTCCAATAATTCGCTTTCACCGAGGCAATAGCCGAGATCGTGGTCACGGTGAACGAATAAAACCGCGCCGAACGTCTCTCGTCAGGCCGTGCTCTCTCCAATAATTCGCTTTCACCGAGGCAATAGCCGAGATCGTGGTCACGGTGAACGAATAAAACCGCGCCGAACGTCTCTCGTCAGGCCGTGCTCTCTCCAATAATTCGCTTTCACCGAGGCAATAGCCGAGATCGTGGTCACGGTGAACGAATAAAACCGCGCCGAACGTCTCTCGTCAGGCATGCTCTCTCCAATAATTCGCTTTCACCGAGGCAGTAGCCGAGATCGTGGTCACGGTGAACGAATAAAACCGCGCCGAACGTCTCTCGTCAGGCCGTGCTCTCTCCAATAATTCGCTTTCACCGA